AGGGGCCATAATTCAGGAAGTTACAGTCCGATATGTGCGAATATCGAAAGGAACCAAGATCTTTAGGTTATAAACTTACATATCAAGTTTCAACAAAATCGGATAAAAACTGTGACCTTGATGTCCACAACCTTGATGTACCATATTTTTACGCTATTTGAGAACGAAGGGCGGCCATTTTGTCTGTCAGTTTTCGGCCGATTTTCACTAAATTACGGAAGTTACGGTCCGATATGCGAGATATCGAAAGGAACCGAGAACTTTGGGTTATAAGCATACATTTCAAGTTTAAACCAAATCGGATAAAAATTGTGACCTCTACAAAGTTCACAAGATAAAAACATGATTTTTCGTACAATCTGGGGCCATAATCCATAAAGTTACAGTCCGATGCATGCCAATATCGAAAGGAACCGAGATCTTTGGGTGATAAATCTATATTTCAAGTTTCATTGAAATCGGATAAAAATTGTGACCTGTAGACTGTTCAAAAACAATTGTGGACGGACGGACGGGGGCGACAACAATATACGTCCACATGAAAATGTGGGCGTATAAAAATTGTGACCTCTATAGTGTCCACAAGCTAAAAACTTGATTTTTCGTACAAACAGGGGCCATATTCCATGAAGGTTCGATCCGATACATGCCAATATCGAAAGCAGCCAAGATCTTTAGGAGATAAACCTATATTTCAAGTTTCGTCAAAATCGGATAAGAATTGTGACCTGTAGAGTGTCCACAAAAAAATTGTGGACGGACGGACAGGGGCGTTTAAAAATGAAAGACAGCCTGGATGATTTTCTTAATCTCACTTGATTTATTAGTATAGAAATTTATTATTGGGAGGAGCGATTTATGGTTAATTTTATATTTTGAACATAAAATTATGATGAGAAATAGTGAAATTTTATATTTTTGTATGATATTTTTCCATGTTTTTATATTGTATGGTCCCTGATGTAGCCTTTACGGGGGGCAGTAGTAAAAAAAACATCAAGTCGAAAAATATGCACTGGACCTGGGTAGACCACCCACCCATTAAAATCTTCATTTTTAAGAAAGACCACCCTAAAATCTTGCGCAATAAAATGTGTTCTTTACAGTTGCTTAATTGACCACCCAAAAATCATGCGCAAGAAAATGTGTTCCTCACAGTTGTTTATTAGACCACCCTAAAATCTTGTGCAAGCAAATGCGTTTCTTGAAATATCTCATTTTAGACCACCCAAAAGTATGTGTAATACCTAACTACTTAAAGGCTGAGCAATAGAACAAATGACAAGACGATATGTTATAAATACAGTATTTATATTGAGTTGATGTTCGACAAAATTCTGAGTCTGAATTATTAGCAAAGATAGTCTAAGACTGCCCATATGCAGAGACAGACTAAAATATATGAACTTAGGCTTATATCTATTCATTTATTGTGCTTTCCCATATCCACTCAAATGTACTGATCACAGGTTGACCAATTTTGACCAGAGTTTGAAGAAGTAAAAGATTACCCAAATCTCATCTCGGCATGCTGCGGTGTTGTGGGTAAAAAGGATGTTGACCCTCTCCACACTACGTGTTTATTCGGAGTGGGCTGGCAAACCAAAATGACAGGACAACAGTCGATCAAATCACGGGATAACACTTGAATGAAATGATAAGGCTTTGAAATATTAATGAATATTTATGTAAATAAACATATACAAGAAACAGGGGTTACAGTACAAACATAAACAAGTTGACAGTTTTCTTTGTTGACAATTCTAATTCAATAATTAGAGTTCACGAGTCACGGAATTCACAGTTCACAGAGTTCATGGTTCACAGTTCACGGTTCACAGATTTCACGATGTCTATGGAGATCCACCATGTTAGAAAGCATGGGTTTTCACGAAATTAAAGTTCACTTTCCCGGAGGAATTATAAAGTTAATCACAGTCGTCACCTTGTGACACAAAGTTCACCATTCACTTAAGTATCACAATTGTCCTAAAAACATAGTTACCAAACACCACCTCCGAGACAGGGAAAAAAACAGTATCGACACGGCATTGTAACATGCTTAAGGGTGAATCTTGCGTTTTAATTGGTGGATTAGACACTGTCGATTGGACAATATATAACACCCCTCTGTTTAAGCAAGGCGAATAACTGCGTATATAAATATTACAGTGTACTTTTTTTTTATTTTGTGCTCAGCCATCTTCCTCAACTCAAATCTTTAATGACAAATATCTTCAAGAAATTCTGCTCAAATGACCATCACACTATTTTCAAACTTCATCCAAACACAAACACAATTCTGAAATATATAAAACAGAAGAAAATCAGTCATAAACAGGCTTCATAAATTATTCGTAACTAAGCAGTGTGGACAATTTTGTTTTGTTTTTTTGCACTTTGCAGTGTTAACTTTAAAGTGGACAATTTAAATCAAAGTTTGCCCAAATTCTGAATAACATGATCCGCCTGATAATTAGTCATTAGTTCCAAGAAATTGTTTGAAAATATAGTCACTAGGGGTGGTGAAATAGCAGCTGATTTGGGCCTACGATAACGGGAAATTATGCTAAAATTGACAATGACAATGATTGACAACACGTCAGAACGATATACATAGCAACCACTTGAATCCTAGGCATCACATAGTTTTATAGGGTATTCTGAGGAGTGTATGCAAGAACTGCTCGTCTCTGAACAAGAACTAGCAATAAAATTGTGTTGACGGTCTGCAAATAAAATAATAAAGGCTAAAAACTCACCCATGTTAAAGTTATCAAAACTTCGAAAGTGTAGCGATCATTGTTGCCAAGAGTTATCCCTGTGTAGTCTCGGTTAACAGGCCGTAACTATTTCATTCACGACTGGCACTACCGGTCAAAAAGGCCACACTAAGGCTAATTTACTAATCTTTTTAAAAATCTTCAAACGTTAAAAATATTTTATTTGAAATATTCGAATAGCATTTTCTTTCATAATTTATTTACCAGCGACCCAAGACTCAAGCATTTTAAAATTGAATTTATCTTCGCTTGGATTCGACCACTAATTCGACACACCTCGGTAAAAACGGCAGCACGTCACAACGTTTTCTTACGTCAAAATTGATTTACAGTAGTGATAGCTTCTATCAAGAGTGAGCCAATTTTCTTACCCAGAAATGCTTTTTTTCTTTCAGAACTCTGTTAGACCACCCAATTTTCTTACCCGGAAATGCTTTTTTTCTTTCAGAACTCAGTTAGACCACCCAATTTTCTTACCCGGAAATGCTTTATTTCTTTCAGAACTCTGTTAGACCACCCAATTTTCTTACCCGGAAATGCTTTTTTTCTTGCAGAACTCAGTTAGACCACCCAATTTTCTTTCCCGGTAATGCACTTTTTCTTGCACTTTTTTCGGCTGGCAGACCCCCCCCCCCCACCCCCCAGTTGCTGTTTGCTTTTTTTTTTACAGTTGCCCCCTGGCCTTTATCGCATTAACAGAACAGTATGAAGATAAACCCCATTTCATTTCATCGCGTTAACAAGGTTTTTGGAAAAGTAAGGGTAACTAGGGTAGAGGTTGCAGAACGCTGAATATTGACAGAGTTCATCGTTTCATGAGGGCATTTCATCCTTGAAAGATAGGTCGCAAAGCAACGAAACATACGCCCACAGCAGCTTAGTCGTCTGGGCAGTCAACAATGGTTGTTGCATATTTTTTTTTTGTCAGTAATGGAAACATTTAAAACACACTAAAATCTGATTACAAGTATCTGTAATTATAGGAAATCATTAGAATTGGTTTTGATTGTTTGTCTCATGACCTTAAACACTGTGTATAAATTTATATCAACTTTAGCTTCTAGCGCATCCACAAGATTTCTCAAGTGATCAAGGGCCATAACTCTGGAAGTATTTATCGGAGATTGTTGAAAATCAACAGGTTTAGTCTCATGATCCTAAACACTGTGTATAAATTTAAAGTTTTTCGGATAGTAACTTTACCCTGAAGAGTGCCCACAAGATTTTTCAAAGTGATCAAGGGCCATAACTCTGGAAGTAATTATTGGAGATTGTTGAAAATCAATAGGTCTTGTCTCATGATCCTAAACACTGTGTATAAATTTAAAGTAACTTTACCCTCTAGAGGGACCACAAGATTTTTCAAAGTGATCAAGGGCCATAACTCTGGGAGTAATTATCGAAAATTGTTGAAAAACAATAGGATGCTTCACCTTTAGCCTCAATGTGGGCATATAAAAACTGTAGCCTCTATCGCATTAAGAAAGGTTTTCAGAAAAGAGGGGTAACCCTGAAATTGAAAGGGTTGGTCCTTCAATGTCCCCAATGCTTCACACCAAATTTGAAAAAAAAAATTGCTAAAAACTGTATCCTGTATCGCTATCGCATTAACAAGCCAATTGTTGACAAATACAAATGGGCAGACAGTAGGACATGGGTGACAACTTAATACGCCCCAACTAAAACGTGACCATATGAAAATTAGTAGCATGGCTCACGTCAAGTATGGTGAGGTTGGGGTGGGGGTGGCGGAATTTATAAATGTTTTTGTTTATTGAATTAGTGTAATTTGATGCCTTAATTCTTTAGAGTTCTTTGCCCCATTCTTGGAAAAAGTTTTTAATTTGTCAGTTGATCACAAATTTAGCATATTAATTATTGAACAACTACAAATGATTTTAATTGTATTTTGAAAAAACAACTAGCGTCGTCTTACAGCTAGCCTTTTATACAGCATAAAATTCTCAATTGCAGATAATTACTTTCCTTTGAATATTTTTGCTCAAATCGAGTTTTGTAATGAAATCAAAAAAAAAAAAAAACCTCTAAAAAATACCTATTGAACAATTTGTAAGGAATACAAGACAGACTGTACATTTGAAAAAACGTCCCTATTAATATTGGCAGATATGAGAATTCATCTTTTTTGAGAACTTTCATTTTTTCTTCATTTCACAAAGAATTGGTTAAATTCAATCATTGTTATGATAAACATACCTTTTCTTTTCTGTAAACATCAAATACAACTGAAAAACAGAAACAAGATATTACTATACATGTATTTCATATCTATTACAAATGAAATGAAATGGGGTTTGAGGCCCTACTTTTCTGCCCCAACTGGGCTACTGAAGTCATGGGACAAACAAATGTGCGTTTGTAAACTGAATTTATCAATCATCAAAGAAAATTAAAAGGTTTTCAGATTTTTTTCTCTGTATTTCAATTAAAAATTTGTCAGATTTTTCCCCCTATTTCAGTTAAACCAGCCGTTGCAAGGCAAGATATGCCCACATTTTGCAAGAGGTGGATAGAGAAAAAGCTAAAAAAAATGTGATTTTTCGTACAATCAGGAGTCATAATTCAACAAGTTATGGTCTGAAATGCACGAATATCAAAAAAGACCGAGATCTTTGGCATATAAAGACATATTTTAAGTTTCATCAATATCGGACAAAAATTGTAACATCTAGAGGGTCCACTGCAGCCTTTGTATTACATACTTGTACACAATTTGCGTACAAGGAGCAGCCATTTTGTCGGACAGTTTCAATCCGATTTTCCGATCAACCGTCATAAGGGTGTAACGGTGATACATTTCAATGTTTTTTAAAATTGGATAAAAATTGGATAACCAGCGGCTGCCAGGCAGGATACGCCCACATTTTCGAGAGGTGGATAAAGTTACGGTCCGATATGCGTAAATATCGACAGGAACCGGGTTCTTTGGGTTATAAACTTACATATCAAGTTTCAACAAAATCGGATAAAAATTGTGACCTCTTTAGGGTCCACAACCTTGATATACCATATTTTTACGCTATTTGAGAACGAACGGCTGCCATTTTGTCTGTCAATTTTGGGCCGACTTTCACGAAATTCGAACTCAGCCGTCCTTAGGGTGTAACGGTGATATAAAAATATGTTTTTTTAAATCGGATAAAAATTATGACCTCTATAGGGTCCACAAGCTAAAAACACGATTTTTCGTACAATCAGGGGCCATAATTCAGGAAGTTACGGTCCGATATGCACGAATATCAACAGGAACCAAGATCTTTGGGTTATCAACTTATATATCCAAGTTTCAACAAAATCGGATTAAAATTGTGACCTCTAGAGGTTCCACAACCATGGTATACCATATTTTTACGCTATTTGAGAACGAAGGGCGGCCATTTTGTCTGTCAGTTTAGGGCCGATTTTCACGATTTTTCGTACAATCAGGGGCCATAATTCAGGAACTTACGGTCCGATATGCGCAAATATCGAAAGGAAGCAAGAGTGTCCACAGCTTTGGTATTACATACTTTTACACTATTTGCGTACAAGGAGCGGCCATTTTGTCCAGCAGTTTAGGTCAGATTTTTACGAAATTCAAACGTATTTAAACGTATTTTTAAAATTGAATAGAAGTTGTGATTTCTGGCGGGTCCACAAGATAAAAGATTATCGACAGCCAAAAACGTGATTTTTCGTACAATCTGGGCCCTCAACCCAGGAAGTTACGGTCCGATATGCACGAATATCAGAAGAAATCAAATTCTTTGGGTTATAACCATACATTTCAAGTTTCATTAAAATCAGATAAAATTTGTGACCTGTAGAGTGTCCACAAACAAAATGTAAACGAACAAGGGCAACAATAATATACGTGCCCATGAAAATGTGGGCGTATAAAAACGCGATTTTTCGTACAATCAGGGCCCATAATCCAGGAAGTTACGGTCCGATATGCATGAATATCAAAAGGAACCAAAATCTTTGAGTTATAAACATACATTTCAAGTTTCATCAAAATTAGATAAAAATTGTGACCTCTAGAGTGTCCACAAGCTAAAAACACGATTTTTCGTATAATCTGGGGCCATAATCCATGAAGTTATGGTCCGATACATGCCAGTTTTGAAAAGAACCGAGATTTGTGGGAGATAGACCAACTTTCCAAGCTTTGTGAAAATCAGATAAAAATCGTGACCTGTAGAGTGTCCACAAACAAGTTGTGGACGTCCGGACAGGAGGGACTACAATATTTATTGTTGTTTCATTAATATAACAAGGCCTGACACTTACAACTTTCATCCAGAAATTTTCCTTTAATATTTTCTTCATAAAAAAACATTATATCTGTAACAATTTCTTTACATTCTTTTCCAATGAACTCATAAAATTGAGTATGATGTCTTTGACTTATTGCTGAAAAATAATTACAATATACTACATGTATATGTATCATATAATAAGATATGTTATCAACGCTCCATGACAACAAATTTTCACAGCTTGTCATTAAATGGAGTTCACACAGACAAAGTTGCTATCTAAAAATTCATGGACTTTATTTATTATTTTTCAACATATCTTGAAGATAGGTTGCCAATCAACAAAACATATGACCACAGCACAATGATGGGATTTCAAATTTTTTCCTGAAAATAAAGGGGCATTACTCTTATCGTTATTTAAGCAGGTTGTTTCAGACCAAAATATTCAAATTCATACGTAATAAACCAGCGGCTGCCAGGCAGGATACGCCCACATTTTCGAGAGATGGATAGAGAACAAGCTAACAAGAAAGTCATTTTTCCTACAATCAAGGGCCATAATTCAGGAAATTACAATTCGATATGCGAATATTGAAAGGAACTGAGATCTTTGTTTTATAAACTTAAATTTCAAGTTTCAATAAAATCGGATAAAAATTGTGACCTCTATAGGGTCCACAAACTTGATATACTATATTTTTACGCTATTTGAGAATGAACGACGGCAATTTTGTCTGTCAATTTTTGGCCGATTTTCACGAAATTCGAACTCAACTGTCCTTAGGGTGTAACAGTGATATAATAATACGGTTTTTTTAAATCGGATAAAAATTATGACCTCTATAGGGTCCACAAGCTAAAAACGCTATTTTTCGTACAATCAGGGGCCATAATTCAGGAAGTTACGGTCTGATATGCGCAAATATCGAAAGGAACCGAGATCTTTGGGTGATATAATAATACGTTTTTTTAAATCGGATAAAAACTATGACCTCTATAGAGTCCACAAGCTAAAAACACGATTTTTCGTACAATCAGGGGCCATAATTCAAGAAGTTACAGTCCGATATGCACGAATATCGAAAGGAACCAAGATCTTTGGGTTATAAACTTACATTTCAAGTTAAAACAAAATTGGATAAAAATTGTGACCTCTATAAGGTCCACAACCTTGATATACCGTATTTTTATGCTATTTGAGAACGAACGGCGGTCATTTTGTTTGTAACGGTGATATAATAATACGTTTTTTTAAATCTGATAAAAATTATGACCTCTATAGGGTCCACAAGCTAAAAACGTGATTTTTCGTACAATCAGGGGCCATAATTCAGGAAGTTACGGTCCAATATGCGCGAATATCGAAAGGAACCGAGATCTTTGGGTTATAAACTTATATTTCAAGTTTCAACAAAATCGGATAAAAATTGTGACCTTTATATGGTCCACAAGCTAAAAACGTGATTTTTCGTACAAACAGGGGCCATAATCCATGAAGTTTTGATCCGATACATGCCAATATCGAAAGCAGCCGAGATCTTTTGGAGATAAACCTATATTTCAAGTTTCGTCAAAATCAGAAAAGAATTGTGACCTCTAGAGTGTCCACAAACAAATTGTGGACGGACGGACAGGGGCGACGGCATAATACGTCCACGTGAAAATGTGGGCGTATAAAAATTATGACCTCTATACGGTCCACAAGATAAAAACTCGATTTTTCGTACAATCAGGGGGCATAATTCAGGAAGTTACAGTCTGATATGCGCGAATATCAAAAGGAACCATGATCTGTGGGTTATAAACTTATATTTCAAGTTTCAACAAAATCGGATAACCAGCGGCTGCCAGGCAGGATACGCCCACATTTTCCAGAGATGGATAGAGAACAAGCTAAGAAGAAAGTCATTTTTCCTACAATCAAGGGTCATAATATGTGCAAATATCGAAAGGAACCGAGATCTTTGTGTTATAAACTTACATTTCAAGTTTCAACAAAATCGGATAACAATAATAATAATAATAATAATAAGTTCTTTATTTTCAAAAGGGTGAAAAATTAGGCTTTGCCGCCTGTTTACAATTCTGCCCTTAAATGACAATAGACAAAACAAACATACACATATATTATACATACAAGGAAACTGAATAATGAAAATCTATTCTTTACATTCCAAATAACATCAAATGCAGAAAACGATAATGGTTTAAATTTAAATATACAGAATAGTTATATAACATTTTGGATATAATTATGCAGTGATTTTTTAAAAGTTGAGAGAACATGAGTTTAAATTATTTGGAAGTGAATTCCATAAAACTGGTCCATTATAACTAAGACTATGTTTAAATTTAGTACAATTTGGATGTGGAATTTGTAATTTAAGATTTATAGAGTTGTAAGGAGTATTTTTAAATTGAAATAAGGAACACAAGTAATTTGGACTTTTATAGTTTAATATTTTGAACAGAAATATATATTTATTCATTAAATGACGTTGTTGAATGGTAGGCAGTTTTAAAGATTTTGAAAGAATGGAATATGAAGAATCAGAAGAATTATATTTAATAATAGGTTTGTTGAATATAATTTTAAATGATAATTTTAGGATAATTTTAAGTTTATTAAGAGAAGAAATTTGACAGGAGTCCCAAATGGTAGAGCAGTAGTCAAGATGTGATTGAAAGTGAGCGTTATAAAATAATTTTAATACATCAGTTGGAAGTTATGATTTGATTTTCCTAAGTTGAAAGTTTTTCTGTTTTAAAATAGTACATAAATGGTTTACATGAGTGTCCCAAAAAAGATTAGAGTCAAAATATACTCCTAAGAGTTTAAAGTCAGAAACGTGTTCAGTGAAGGTAGAATTAATAGAAATGGACAAATGTGTAGATAAGGAATTTATTTTAGGTTTTGAAGCAATAATCATACATTTAGTTTTAGATTCATTGATGATCATGTCATTGGAGTTGCACTATTGTATGATTTTGACAGTTTCTGACTGAAGTGTAGAGTTAAGAGAATCAAAATTGGTAGAAGAAGAATATACAATGGTATCATCAGCAAAAAGATCACATTGAGCTGTCAAATTTAGAGGAAGGTCATTAATAAACAGATTAAATAGTAGTGGTCCAAGAATGGAGCCTTGAGGAACACCAATTTGAGTGCATTGATAACGCTTAGATAAGTACGATTCTAATAATGTGCATAATTTGGTAGAAATTTGGTATAATTTTAGTTTCTCAAGTAACAGGGAGTGATTGACCATATCAAAGGCTTTACGGAAATCAAAGAATACTAAACCAGTGTATTGACCTTTATTAATGGCAGAATAAACATTTTCTGCAATATTTGTAAGGGCAGTATGACAAGAAAATTTGGACCTAAAACCAGACTGATGAGAATAAAGTAAATCGTGATCCAGGAGAAAGTTATTAATGTGTTTACAAATATGCTTTTCCAAGGGTTTAGAAATAGTTTGAAGTATAGATATGGGGCGATAATTATTGGGCTGGGATTTTGTACCTGATTTATATAATGGAAGAACTTTAGCCTGTTTAAAAAAAGACAGAAAAATATTCTTATCTATACAAAGATTATAAATAAATGTCAATGAATCACAAAGAATTGGAGCACCAAGTTTAAGAAAATGAGGACCAACTTGATCTAATCCTATTGATTTGGAAGTATCAAGAGAATGAAGATATTGGAATACATCACATTTTGATATGTAGGGAAGATGACACAAGGTATTGTTTTCAAGATGATTAGATACAAATGTAGATATCACATTAGAGGTAAAACGATCTAAATGATTTGATGGACTAGGTATAATGGACTTTGCAACATTAACAAAATGAGCATTAAAACTATCAGGGGCTGCCAGGCAGGATACGCCCACATTTTCGAGAGATGGATAGAGAATAAGCCATAATTCAGGAAGTTATTATCCGATATGTGTGAATATCGAAAGGAACCAAGATCTTTGGGTTATAAACTTACATTTCAAGTTTCATCAAAATCGGATAAAAATTGTGACCTCGATAGGGTCCAAAACCTTGATATACCACATTTTTACGCTATTTGAGAACGAAGGGCGGCCATTTTGTCTGTCACTTTTGGGCCAATTTTCACGAAATTCGAACTCAGTCATCCTTAGGGTCTAACAGTGATATAATAATAAGTTTTTCAAAATCGGATAAAATTTATGACCTTGATTGGGTCCACAAGCTAAAATCGCAATTTTTCGTACAATCAGGGGCCATAATTCAGGAAGTTACGTTCCGATATGCGCGAATATCGAAAGGAACCAAGATCTTTGGCTTATAAACTTACATTTCAAGTTTCAACGAAATCGGATAAAAATTGTGACCTCTATAGGGTCCACAACCTTGATATACCATATTTTTACGGTATTTGAGAACGAGGGGCGGCCATTTTGTCTGTCAGTTTTGGGCAGATTTTCACGAAATTCGAACTCAGCCGTCCTTAGGGTGTAACAGTAAGATAATAATACGTTTTTTTAAATTGGATAAAAATTATGACCTCTATAGGGTCCACAAGCTAAAAACGCAATTTTTAGTACAATCAGGGGCCATAATTCAGGAAGTTACGGTCCGATATGTGCAAATATCGATAGGAACCACGATCTTTGGGTTATAAACTTACATTCCAAGTCTCAACAAAATCGGATAAAAATTGTGACCTCTACAGGGTCCACAACCTTGATCTACCACATTTTTACTATTTGAGAACCGATGGCGGCCATTTTGTCTGTCAGTTTTGGGCTGATTATAAAGAAAATCCTTAGGGTGTAATGATGATATAATAATACGTTTTTTTTAAATCTGATAAAAATTATGACCTCTATAGGGTCCACAAGCTAAAAACGCAATTTTTCTTACAATCAAGGGCCATAATTCAGGAAGTCACGAATTATGCGCGAATATCGAAAGGAACCGAGATCTTTTGGTTATAGGCATACATTTCAAGTTTAAACCAAATCGGATAAAAATTGTGACCTCTACAGTGTTCACAAGCTAAAAACGTGATCATGTACAATCAGGGGTCATAATCCATGAAGTTACAGTCCGATACATGCCAATATCGAAAGGAACCGAGATCTTTGGGTGATAAACCTATATTTTAAG